CAGCCATTACCAGTGCCATTAAACTCATTTAACCATGCTCTCCCCACTGGAGTGTTACAGAAATGTGGCAGCAGAAGTAGTATAACTTTTCCTCTTTATTTCTGCAAAGAGGAGAAGTTACACTACTTAAAATAATACATTATGGCTAAACATGTATTTATTTGCATTACAGCTCTTTATAACTCCTGAGAAATGTCAGTATTAAATACTGAAAATATTAAATAAATATATGTTCAAAAACCCAGTTGGCTTCTTCAGTATAATCACTTGATGAAAGTAAGGATGGAAGAGATTAATAATATTGATTGTTTACAAGCCACTATACCTTGTGTTAAAAGCTAGCTCTTTTTAATGGCAGATAGGAGACCACAAGCACTGGTTTGAAGAAAAAAAAAAAAGCTGAAAAAGTTTCTTAGGTGATAATTCTGCATTATCACCTGCTACAGAAACCTCTGTCAAAGTAAGGGCCATACAGAAACAAGGTCAATATTTCTGCTCCTCCCTTGAGCCATAGCACAGAAGCTGCTGCACAGCTTCTTCACAGTAAATCTTGTAGTACTTAAACTTCAGACATTCCCAGCTGGAATGCACTCACAACTGATTTATTGCCATTTACTTTGGGAAATCCCAAATAGAGCAGAGGCTGCTTTCATCACTTAATGGAAAATGTAAATCCACTTACTGATAATGAATTCCTGTAGCACCTCTTCCTGCACCATCCACGAGCTCTCTGTGCCTCCCCTGCCAGCTCTCATCCAAAATGTTGCTGCAGGGGCTGGGTTTTTGTGTGATAATCCTTGTTCTCCATTAGCCTGAAATTAGATCAGCTGTGCTCACCCCTTTTGGGATCAGTAGCACAGGAGTTTCCTTTCAGTGTTTAAAACGACGAGACTCCAGCTGATGCTGAAAATAAACTGGTCAAAAATCAAAATGGAACTATTTCCCATCAGGATAATTCACAGAGGCAGAGGTGTTGCACTGAAGTTCCAAGGGAGGTCATTCAGACCAGAATGGAATTAGGAAAGGAGCAGTTCACCCACTCAATAATAACCCTGCTTCTTTGGGCATTTCTTCACATGAGAAGGTTGGAAGCTTCAAAAGAGCAAGGGTGGATGCAAAATTGTACCTGGCAATCATTCTCCCACTGGCTGGAGAGAATGGCTGGCAAAAGTTTTTATGCACTGAGATGTAATAAGAGATTTTTCCATCAGCATATTCTTAAACTTCTGAGTTTTATTAACACAAGAAATTAAAAATATTTCCCAACCTTTATGAAATGGAACTCCTGTTTCCCAAACAAGCCTCAGAAATAGGATCTCTCTCCCTTTCCCCTGTGCAATGATTTGTTTGAGGAAGCCAGCTCCAGTCATTTCCACACTCAGTGATAGAGGATGTTTAAGCTGCTTTATCTTTGTTGAACAATGCTGCAGGTATGAATCCCATCACATTCACTCCATGAACAAGTTTTACACCTCTTAGATTACAGTGACACTGTGACATTGCTGTAATATTCTTTTCCCCTTCCTTTTTTACTGTGTTATATTGGTTTCAGCAGGAGCCCATATCTGAAACTTTCATTGTGGCTTCAACCTGTTGGGCTGGGAATGAAGATGAAATGGGTTTTTCTATGCACAAATGCTCTGTAATGCTGATAAGGGCTGATGTGAACAGAATGCAGACTAACACAACAGAATTGTGTATTCAGCCTGCCTGGTAAAGGAGATGTTTTTCAGCAGTCTGTTGAGTAGCAATAAATGATTTGTAAATATCACCCTCAATAGAGTGGGGACTCCTTTCTCCTAATAACACTGACAGACACAAAAACAATTAATAAAAAGCTCAAGGAGATTTTTGACAATAATCTGCCTCTTGGGAGCCTTCATAGCCACCTCCTCTGTGTGTCCAGCAAGGGGCACTGGGCAAGCCTGTTGGAACCAATAAATCAAACTTTCCCTGGCTGAGATCCCTTCCAGCAATTATGTGATGGGCTTGGACCTTAATTAGCAGCTCTTCTCTCTCAGTCTGAATGGTGTCAGAAGGTCACTAAGAGTGATACCAACCAGGATGTTTTGAGTTGTTGTCTCCAAACCAGAAGTGTGACAGGGCACTCACCAGTCCCTCCCAGATCAGGTGTGAGTGTGCTGCCTACAACTTGAGAAATGAGAACAGAAATTTGCTTTTGCTCCAGCTGTGAATCAGGGGGAGAATTCACTTGAATTCAGGAGTGAAAATGCATTTGGAAACTTCCCTTTACTGACTGCCCTTTCTCACTGCAACACTAAGTGTCACTGTCATATTTTCTGGAAAAATCCCCTTGCCCAGGATTTCTCTCCTGGGAAGCTGAGAAGCCTCAGAGAAAAATGAAAAAAAATATTATCTCATTTGCTTCTCCTGTGTTTTGCTGCTTTGGAATGTGTTTGGAGAGTGTTTATCCAGCAGGTGGTTGTTCTATTTGTTTCATGTGAATTGTTTTAACTTAATGACCAATCATGGTCCAGCTGTGTCAGGACTCTGGAGAGGGTCACTAGTTTTTAATTATTATCTTATTAAGCCTTCTGTAAATATCCTTTCTCTATTCTTTAGTACAGTTTAATATAGTATTCTTTAATATAATATAATATAATAAAATAATAAATCAGCCTTCTAAGAACATGGAGTCAGATTCAACATTTCCTCCCCATGATGGGGGACCCCAAAAATACCACAGCTAAGAGCTGTAAAAGCCTTAAAATTCTTTAAATGCCCTTTGGCTTAAAAAGTGAGAAATTCTGTGTATTGGACAATGGCAAATTGAGCTCTCTGGCTGGGGCTTGTATGGATTCAGTTGGGCAATTCTGCAATTTCAAAATCTTGTCCTTTTTGGAGCTGCACTCTGTCCTGTGGGTGAATGTTGCTCATATATAAGTGCATTAATTAGACTTGGAAATCTAATTAAGATGAAAAGGAAGGCAGACAGACACCATCCAGAAGGTGTGTACATGTCACCATCAATTCTCTTCCCCTTCTCATCACCAGGAGAGAAGCTGCTCTGCAGATGGAAAGAGCCAGGGACCCAAAGGAGCTCAGAGGGCACAGTGCTGTGGGTTGGAATTAAAAAGCACAATTACATCTGTGAACAAGAGGCCAAATAAAAGCAAGCCAGAGATAATCACTGTTATAAAAACCAGAGTGTCCTTGTGCCCCATCTACTCCTAGAAATAAACTTGTTTCAGACCACGTTAAAATCTGGTACAATAATGCTGGGCTGCTGCAAATCTGCCAGTGAAATTAAGAGCTTTTTTGGCAAACTAACAGAGAGACTCAGTCCAAAGGTTTAAGGTTCCTGGAGCTGCTTCAATTGTGTTTCATGCTTGACTTTCTGCAGTCCTCCTGAACTGGCTGAATGCATCTCTCTGCTGTTTTCACCCAGCCAAAGCACTGAGGGAGGATTTTCTATTTCACACCCCATTCCTACCTTACTACTCAGATTATGTAATGTGGGTTATCCCAAATGCCTCTGGCTTTTCCCTTTGGAAAGTTTTTTTTTTTTTTCAGAAAATAATAATGGGCAGATCTTCACTTCTGTAAATTCAGCATACATCTGTTGCAGCTCAGATGTTTTTATTACAGTTATCTGGGTTCAAAGTTTGGACCAGTTTGAATGCTTTTTCTTTTTTTGTTGTTAATTCTGCAAGTTTCAACAAAAATCCTGTAGCATCTGCAAAAAGAATCTCAGTTAATTCAGTGCATTCGGAGTTACCTATCCAGTCTTGTCATTTTGATTTTATATTTAATATATGTTTTTATTTCTACAAGTTTCAACAAAAATCCTGTAGCATCTGCAAAAAGAATCTCAGTTAATTCAGTGCATTTGGAGTTACCTATCCAGCCTTGTAATTTTGATTTTATATATGATATGTGTTTTATATATATATGTATATATGAGCAAATTTTAATTTAATGGCAAAACGACGATGTTTTTTCTCTGTTTAGACCAAGTTCCTGTAGAACAGGAGCTCTCTGTATAATAAACTGAATTAAACTGGATGCATCCCAGTGGAAACTTCTAATTTAGTTTTAGCCTCTTAGGACAGCAATGTAGGCATTCTGCTAATCAGATGAGTGTGGAGTGTACTCTGGGATAGCAGGTGAGACAATTTATCTTGTAAAGATGGGTAAGAGTAATAAGAAATTTGATTTCAGATAATGCCTGTGGGTGCTACTCCTAACTGTCCAACAACATGATCTTGCTTAGCAATTTTAAGACAAAAAACCCATGTAAAGGCTTTATTCCACCTACAGGATGTGATGTGCTCAGTGATCCAGAGAAATTCTCCCAAAGTCATTAGAATTTTAGTACCACAAAACAAAAATATGGCTTTTTCTTAGGTTTGGGGGTTTTTTTTCACCCCAATCCACAGCAAAGTACTTTTGGCTATGGATGGAAAGGAAAATGAGGTTCTGTTTTCACATTAAATAAAAATAATTTTTTTTCTACGCACAGGGAAAAAAAACAGAGGGACAAATTAGAAAAAGCAAAAAAATCTGAATGAATCAGCACAAATCCTCTATTCCTAACCCAGAGCCTGAGATTTGCAGTCACTGTGGGGACATTTTGCTGGTTGCCAGTCTCGTGGTTTCAGGATATCCCTGCTGTGTTTGATTCAATATTGTCCTCCTGTTCTAGCCTGACCACATTTGTTATTAAATGGCACTTGCAGGGTTATTTGGGATATGGAATGGGACCAGGGGATGGGATCTGTTGGGTTTAGCTGGGTAACAATTGCAGAATTTCAGCCTTGCAGTCTTACACTGTACCTTTGCCTGGAGGAAAGCTGAATAACATTACTTTGGTTAAAGGAGGGAGGCTGTTCCATTTTAACATCATCAGTAATGACTTTTTATCAGTAACATTGTTTCTTTAGGGCTGTTTTTTTTTTGTGTGATGCTCTACATGGGTTATTAATGACAATAACTTGCTAAATTATATTCTTCTCAAAAAAAATGATAACACACAGATGTACAAACCCACATTCATGTGTTGTTTTATTGGTGCATTACAACATTACATTTCCTTCACATTGAGAAAGCATGAGAGTAAAATACATTGATCCACAAAAATGCCTTCCCTATGCTGACTTTGCACTGCTGATTGTGGCACCCACAGATCCCTCCACAAGTTTCATTCCATTAAGTCTTTCACAATTTAATTACATTTTAATCAAACCTTTTACATTGTCTCCTTTATGACTCTCAATTGAATTATTCCCATTAAAATGTGTTACTTTTTACTGCTTTTCTGAGATCACCAATTACTCCTGCAATTTCAGGTTTTATGCTGTATTACACTTCATGTTCCAATCCTTTAGCAGCCACTACTCACTTGAGGGCTGGAAGAGATTTTCCTCCTCCCAAAGACAGCCTGTCTGTATCCAAAGCCATTAAAATATTGAGAATGTGTACAGCACAGTTAGAAGGCCCCACTCCATTCTGAGAATAAGCCAGATCTATATAAAAACATGCAAAATGTTCTATGCATCAGTATTAAACTTCTAATTTTGACTGAAGATTTATTCTTTCTTTAACATTTGCATATAACCTGGAAGACTAGGGTTCCTGCTGAAAGAAAGAGCTGATGGCTAAGCCTCACCCTGGCTCTGGGGCTCTCAGTAATCCTCCCACATGAAGTAATACAAAACTATATTTGTTACAGAGTTCTGTAGGGTGGTTTAAAAACTTCATAGTAAGATTAAACCTCCATTGAACTCTGTGGATTTCTAGAATAAGATCTCAACCATACCACAGGAGTGTTCTGTCAAATGCAGTGCAAATGCCAAGTAATTTTGCTTTGCTGATGCTGGTATTGTGAATTACTGTATATTCACCAGGAAAACCACAGCTAAATTCAACTGTCTCTGCTGTAGAGCTCAGAATTCTGTAAGTGAAGCATCCTCCCTCTGGCTTAGTTAAAATGTACCAGCTTTGCTTTTTTCTGATTTCTACAGAACCTCCCAGGTTCACTCCTGTTACCTTCTGTTCCTTAATGTCACTTCCTATTTATAGCCATTTCCAAACATCATATAAATTTATACACAGCAAGGTTGCATCCTCTTGTACACAGTTATTAGGTTTATTTTTAAGGGGACCCTAATTTACTTGCTTTTTATAAAAATTCAAGTGTTGCCAATCAGGAAGCAGCTCTTCTCAAAAAAAAAAATATAAATCTACAAAGCTTTGCTTTGAGGAAAATAAATGGCAAGCCTTACATAAAGACATTGAGCTGTTTGAATCACAAAATGTCTACGAGGCTGATGCATATTCCAACAGGAACACAGAAATTATAATCATGGCAGCAGTCTCCTCCAGTCTGAAGCACCGTAATTGTGGTCGTTGATCAACATTATCTTGATTGCGCCAAGAAATGTTCAAATGCCAGGGTGTGGTCTGGAATATTTTGCCTGCATTTTTCACAGGATACCTAAGGAGAAAAAACCTGGAATCTGACATTCTGCCATCCAAAGGTACATCACCTCACAGGAATGGGATGTATACTGCATAGTGCATTCCTAACAAACAGAATCCTACTGAGAATAAATTAACTTCAGTCACACACTTGTTAAACTTCCCCAGACCAACAGTGGTTTGAGCTCCAATTCAGGTACCAACCTTAGCAAACACCATGCCCAAGAGCATGGTGGGCTGAAAATGTGGGATGGGATTGGTGGAAAACTGTCTCCAGCCTTCCTCTGGGAATGTTACAGTGCTGGAAACCACCACACGCATTTGGGGTTGTGTGCCCAAAGTCACAAATGAGAATCTTTGCATTTCCTCAGGTCACCAATGCTGCAGTGAGTCACTACACAAGAATGAACATGGCACAACGAGATCCACAGAAAACTTTGTGTTTCTTTGTCCTCCCAGCTTTAGGGGGTTTTAAACACCTGTTTGAAAGACTTCAGCTCGTTAAATGCAATGGGTGTTCTTTTCTTTCAAATTTGTTTTGATGGTAAACACTGCAAGAGTTCTCAAAAATTGCTGATGGTCAATACCAAGTTTCTAATCCATCCTGTATGTTGTTTTTAGTTGGCAATTTTAACAACATGGAGCTTCTTGAAGGTGAGAATCATCCTGTGGAACTACTAATGCACGAGGCTTGGCTCTCACAAGCACTTCACCAGCCACACCTTTCAACTTCTTGGTCATTAGTAGCTCAGAAAACCTTGGCAAAACTTGATAATTAATACAAAGTTCCACCAGCATGTGGAGATTTTTGTTAATGCCAGAAGGCAGCAAGATAAACGTAAGGATGATGCCCTAAATTATCAAATTACAGATGTTGAACACCTAATGAAAAGTGCTCTGTGTACTTGCCACCCATCGAAATCAATGAGTGCTGAAGATGACCAGAACTTTGTAGAAGATGCTCAGTACTTCAGAAAATCTGTTTCCAGATCTAGTATAGGCTCAACCAGATCTCAAAATTACTCTCTTAACCATTCTCCACACGAGATTCTTTTAAATACTGTGCTTTCCCCTTCCCTTGAGTAGTTCTGCCTGCTTGCAGTAGACTGAAAACAGATAATTCAGCAAGTCAGTAAGAACTGAAAATTTAGCTTTAAAACTATGATGGTGCCATGGCATTAAAAATAAAATATTTAAATTCCCTTTATAAAAAGGAAAGAAACAAAAGGAAAAAATGTACATTAAGAACCACTGTTAAGAGACCAGTTTGGAGGAAATGTGAGAAGGCTAAAAGTTCATTCTGCACATTTCTCAAAGTCATACGGGACCTTCAGTGATTCCCTCCAGAGGCAGCCCAGTGGCATTGTCTGCTGTGGGTCTCTCTTCTTTCTTCACTGAGTTCTGATCCAGCAGGCTGACATAAGATTTGTGACAGGCTGTATTGCCCAAAGGAGGGTAGTGCTGTCTGTAGCAAATATAAGCAAAAATGAGGCCAATCACCCCTCCAACGAAAGCATCTGCAGGAAAAAAAACAACAAAACCAGAAGCACATTACAAGGGGAAGGGCAGACAGGAGTGAAAACTGCAAATAAAAGACATTTGGTGGATGTGAAAGTGTTTAACACAGAAATTGTGGATTTTGAATTTTCCCAAAGAATTTGGAACCAAATACCACAATCACACTGGACACACAAAATCCATTCTTGGGGACTTGTGCAATATTTTGAACACCCAAACTGTAGATGGCTCAGTTTTGGGAGATGAACACTGGGAATAGAATGGCCTCCATGAGGCATCAAACACTCCTGATGTTCCAGATCACAGCTGACCACTTGTGGATGGGCAGCCCATGGATCTTCACCCAGGGGTGAAGATCACCCTTTTTCACTTAAAAAAGCAGACTGCCAAGAACAATCTCAAACTGGATGAATTCTTACCAAAAGCATCTGAAAGATCAAAGACTAACCATGCCTGTTAACTGATTTAACACCTCTTGAATATCTTTCTTTGATGTTTTTTACTATCCCATATTCCTATCAGAAAATAAAGAAAGGTAAGTAATGCTACTGTATGATATATTTGCAGCTCTCACACTTAGGCAATTTAAAATTTTCTATAGAGGATTCCTTCTGTTTCTGATTATTAAAATAAGCAGAAAATACTCACCTCACTAAAATATTCACCTCATCTTGTGTTTCATTTACAATCAACAAGAGAAAAATTTCAGTGGATGTACACACTCTGTGAAAGCCTCAGATTTAATATGAAGAATGATGAAGTGAGGCAGAAGGAACTGGTTAAAATGACCTGACAACACATTTTATTTTAACAAGACTGATTCAGCCCCACATCATCTGTGTGTACCTGTGTTTCCATTCTTTTAATTTCAAAAAACCCAAACTGTAATTAAAATGGTGAATCATTTAGTTTACTGGCAAAGAAGGGTAAATCAATACAAATTATTTTTGTCTAAAGTCCTTAAGTACAGATTAAATACCCTGGCTTGGCATTGTGATTTTTATTATAACAAAGGCCATGTAGTTCAATTTTCAATGCATAATAGATGGTTTGTAATCATTAGAGAAGTGAGATGCCTTTTATCAGGAATGGCTGGAGCAAGAAAACCTGAAAAATTTAATAGTGAGGGGGATAAATTTAGGAAATGTGACTGTAAGTCACATTTGAGGAACAGGACTACATGGAATGATCCAGGAGATGCCTTCTAATCCTATGTTCTCTTCCTCCACACAAAAGGACAAAATGAATCTATCACAAATTAATGTAACAGGGCCTCAAACAGGAATTTAAAAGGTGATTGTGTGCAGACAGTAACTTATCCTACCCACACTAGAAGCTGACTGATTTAATCAGCCTGGCTCTACCAAACTATAATGGTATTAAAGGTACTGAGGGCAAGAATTTTCACTGTACAGCATCAATCAACTTGTAAAAAACTTAGTTATTGTGACAAGATTAATTTTCTATAAACCTGTGTTGGGTGCAATTCTCAGATAACTTGCACCTGCATAAACTGTTTTTACACAGTTGAGAGAAAAATGAAAATTATCTTTCACAACCAACTGTAGACACTGAGAGTTTGAGTGACCAAACAATACAGAATAACAACTTGTTACTAACCAATAAAGGTAATTGGCAAGAAAACTCCTAACCAATTAGAGTCCCACACAAAGTGTGTAAATCTGCATAAAAATGATTATGTGAATACAGAATGGGCCTTTTTCCACCATGAAGAAAATGGAGTCCTGTGTAATTTATTCCCACAAGTTTGCAGCTCCATCTCCTTAAAATTCAAAGGCAGAACAGGAGCAGCTGTGATGAGCTGAGTCCCAACCCTGGGTGCAGTGTTCCTCCACCATGCACAGAGCACATCAACATCACCTGCTCACCTTTCAGCCCATCAATAATTCTGGCAAGGCACAGTTCACACTGCAAACACCTGTTCCAAACCTGTACCCTCCACATTTCTTCCCATTCCTCCTTTTCTCTCTAACAGGGATCTCAGGCCAAGTGTTTTGTGTGCCTCCTGCCAGCCTGGTGAAGCAGCAGCTCGTGCTCAGCAGGTTTGTGCTGGAGGCTCTCCCCAGCCCCAGGGTCACTGAGAAAAGGACAAATGGGTCCTGAAATAAGACAAGGCTCTGCTGGAAAGCAGGAGGCTCCTCAGAGAACGTGTCAAGGCTAATGGCTGGTGATGAAGCAGCTGCAGGAGCACAGCAGGGTGAGGGAAAGCGTGGCTGAGATTGGTTCTGCTGCTGGGTGAGATGAGAAGGTGCTCGGGGGGACAGAGCAATGCAGAAATTAATTGAAATTATATGAGGAACCAAGAGAATGCTGTGTCTTTGTGCTGGGATTTGGGGCCAGGTTTTGGTAGCAGAGGGAGTTGCAGGGGTGGCTTCTGTGAGAATCTTCTCCATGTGCAACAGAGCCAGCCCCAGGCAGCTCCAGGATGGGTCTGCCACTGGCCAAGGCTGGGCACAGCAGGGATGTAGGAGCACCTCTGGGATAACAGATTTTAAACAGTGGAAAAAAAAATCTGGACAACTGAAATAGCAGCTGGAAAGAGGAGTGAGAAGATGTGAGAGAAACAGCCCTGCTGACACCCAGGTCAGTGAGGAAGGAGGGGCAGGAGCTGCTCCAGGCACCTTGACAGCAACTACAGAGTGATCTCTCCCCAACTTATCTCGACTCATGAACTTTCATTGCATTTTCTCTCATCATTCCAGCTGAGGAGGGGAGTGACAGACCTGGCGTCCAGCCAGGGTCAACCCACCACAGTGCTGGAAAACAGCAAACAGCATGGAACCAGTATGGAACCGAAATTTCAGGTAATTGAAAGGAGCACTCAGGACCTTCAGGGGAGTTCAATTTGCAAGGCCAGCAGTGCAGTCCTAGCAATACCACAGAAAGCCAAGGTGATCTACATAACAGCAGCAGAAATACCATGCATGGTATTTCTTATAGGAATACAGGGGCAAATAGGGAAAAAGTAATTACAGGCTGGTTTACTCAGCATAAGAATGACTAAAAGCAAAGAAGCTACAAAGGTGGCCATAAAGAAGGTCAAGAAATGGGTAAAGAAATAATTGATGGCAGGGTTTTCTGAATTGTCACATGAGTGTGTAATTGATAAATAGCACAACCTTCCACATCAGTTACAGAACTTTGGAGGACTCTGAGACAACAGTGACAGATGCCGTGACCTGATGAGTGTTGCACTCCTGCTGTGAGGGAGGAGAGGATGCTGTGGCAGAGGCCTGAAGCTCTGAAGGTCAGTGCTAGCTAATCCAGCCTTGCTGGGAAGCCCCAGCATCAATCCAGGAGCAAGGAAAATCTATAGCACAGCATGGTGTTTTAACTCACCATGTACTGAAACAGAAAAAATCAAAGAAATATGTCGCCCTGTTATTCTAAAGTTCTTCTAAACCTTCTGATGTTTACATTTTTGTAATAGAGTTTCTCAAGCACTTTTGATATAAATAATTGGTTTGCATTCCTTTCTAGAAGAAAAGAGAATTGATAAACTGTTAGTTTGACCAGTGTAGTTAAAAAAGTAGCAATTTCATCCTCCAATGCATAATCACTTACAAATATCAGAGTTCAGAAATAAACTACCCCTTTTTTACCTTACCCATCTCAAAGCGTGAGTGTCGCTCATTTCGTGTCGCATTACAACAGAAATCCACGGCTAACTCAGAAAAAAAAGAGTAGGAAAATGGGGCATGTGCATGCCTGACCTTGCCAGTGGTGTTTGTAGTCACACATCCGTGACAGGGCGATCATCATGGCACAGTAGAGGGGCAGGATGGCTGCACAGAGCCTCCAGCTCTTCCCCCGGCCGCTCTCCGTGAAGCAGTGCAGCTTTCCAGCCAGGTAGAACGTGGTGAAGCCAAGGCCTGAAAATGCAACTGAAAAAGCAAAGCACATCACTGCAGGGAACTGTAATTAGTGTTGCTTTGGTTGCTTGGTTGTTTTTTTGTTTGGTTTTTTTAATTTATTTTTATTAAAGCAGTCATGATCTTGGCAAACTTTGAAAAAATCACATTTTTGAGAAAGTGAATGAGAAAAGACATTCTCCAACAAGATCCATGACTTACATGTATTCTCCACAGCAGTGGTGTTACCTATGGAGCCATACAAGCAAGCAGAAAAGGGAACACTCAGAAGCAATGAGATTTTTTTCTAATATATACACTCAGCTTTCACATAATCTGACATGTCTGCAAACACTGTGTTGCCTCTAGACATTCACCTATCCCATGGAAATTTAAATTTTTTCTTCCTTCAGCAATTTACCTTTTTCCTCTGACACTAAATTAAACATTTAAGCAAATTTTTAACTTGAGCCACAAAAGCTTTTTCATGCTTCAACCTTCAGCAAATCTTTCCCACTTTTAGACCTATTCTAAAATGTTGAGGTTCAAAGCAGAAAAGGATTCAGACAGTTTGCACTGTAATTGAATTACATTTAAATGAGATTTTTAGGTTCCATTACCCAGTTTCTATAGAACGTGCACAAGTGGCAGTGACAAGAGAACTCAGGCACCAAACTTCTGCTCTGAACTTCTTTGCTGTTGCAGCTTTTACACCTTCCAGAGAGACACTGGACAAGGAAAGGACTTCTTTGCATCATTTCATCTTCCAGATGAGTAAATGGAGCAATCAAAATAAAATCTGTCTCCGATATGCAACATCAAATGCAATCCTGAAGCAAAAACTTTCCCTCTCCAAAAGTATTTTTGTATTCATTTTTCTATTTTTCACCTCAGGTTATTATTTTTTAGGTGAACTGAAATCTGAAGGCAGCGTTCCCAGGCAGAAGAATCAATTTCTTTGTGGTTTCATTTTCAGGCAATCTGCAATGCCCAGCAATTTAAAGGGCTTAAAGGAATATTGCCCAAACTACAAAGTAGGTGCTCAGTTCACACAGACTCATATTTAGGACTAGTACCATTTACCAGGCAATTTAACCAGCAATTGTCAGCGTGGTACACAGCAGCAGCAGATTTAGCTAAAAGGACTTCAGAGAGAATCTGGTAATATTTTAAAAATACTATTTCCCCCAAATTTTTGGGGTTCTTTTCAGGGTCTGCCAGATTTCCAGAAGGAGGTGCTCATGGAAGAACATGGAAGTTCAGCGGGATCTATATTTGTAATAAACACAAAGGCTGATCTTGCCTTAGGTGGTGGATGTGTTCCTCTAACTAAAAGGCAGAAAGAAGAGAGTCACAAATATTCCTCTAGGGGAACCCATGTCTAATATAAAAGGGAAAAGAAATATATCTAATATAAAGAAATATATCTAATATACTCTAATATACTCTCTCTAAATATATATCTATCTCTATATATATATCTCTAATATACTATATACTATATCTATATCTAATGTACTATATCTAATATACTCTAATAATATATTAATATTTATAAAACTAATATCATGGCTGTAGAACTACCATTGTGCAAAGAAGCCTTACACTTACACGGCAGAATTTCAGACTGACTTCCCTTACCCTGGAGTGTGCAAATCCAGAAAGAGCTGCTTGACCCAACAGTCCCAGTGCGTGCAGAGTCAGCAGCAAAAACCACAGAATTAACAGCAAAATGCTCTGGGATGTGGGATATCCATTATAGAAGTAACTGCAGAATTCAAGACAGCTCAATTGCTGTGCACCCCATGTGGGCAGCTTTGCCTGATGGCTCTGTTTTGAAAATGTCACTCAAGAACATAAAGAAAACCAATTTGCTGTTCAAGAATCCTGGGCCTAAAGGTGATATTTACACTGAAGAATTGGTCCATCAGTAGAATATATTTGAGCACTTTTTCCTGCACTAGCTGGAGTCCATACATCACTGCAGCATGAAGGAAATGCAAACACACACATGCCCTGAAGGGTCACACCCTGCCTACTGTCCTAGTAAAAGTTATTAGGAAGACAGATCCCAAAGATTCAGCAGAGCAATACAAAATCACTTCTAAGCTGCCTTCCTCCAGAAAATAAATCAAACTCTTTTTATACAAAGAAGGGAAAAGCAATATAAAATACCAACCAGCCCTTTTTGGAGACATTGATGTAAATGAACAGAAGAAAATCAGTCTGAATTAATTTAAAATAACGGTAACACAAGAAACATGTTGATACAAATTCCAGACACAAAAAATTATTGATTTTAAATGTTGTAAGAGGAGAAAGGAATGAGGAAATGAGATATTTTTACCAATTTTCGTAGCTAACTCAAATCAAAATCTTGATGCCACAAATTGCTGAACTCAGGAAAAACTGTCATGAGAAAAGCCACAGGTTCTGTCATGGCTTGTTAAAATTCTTTAAAATGCATTATCATTATTTGAATAAATAAAAATACAACAGATTCAATTGTTAAGTTTGTTTCTATGATGTTCTTTTTTCAAAAAATGAGTTCAGAAGGAGTAAGGAGGATGACAGCATCTGGAGATAGCACAGATCCCATCCTGACACCTGATTCCCTCCAGACAGGGAATTCAGGTGAGCTGAAAAACCTGCCTGTACAGACCAAACCAATTACCAAGCTGAAATGCAGAAGGTGAGAAACTGTAAACAAGAATCTGATCTAAAGCACCCCAAATAAATTATTCATTTAAAAATGTAATTGCTTTTGTGAGTGTTTTTCTGAAATTTAAACTACCCCAGGAGGATTTTCAGCCTCTCAAGTTTTAACAGATGCTTTGCTAAGCACACAATAAATGACTTTTTTACATTAAGCAGTTTTTGAACTAAAGAAAACCCCTCAACTTACTTAAATGCCACCAAATTACAAAACAACCATCTGAATGGCCTTTTAAAGGATCAGATAAAATGATCCATCCCTTTGCCTGCAATGCTTTATTTTTGCGGTGATTACTGCGCATTTCCCAAGTGCAAACACAGACTATTCATCACTGGAATTGCTCAGCAGCCTACTGAGGAATTCCAGCAGCTAGGGCTACTGCTGAACGTTTTCAGTTTCACACTGTTCAAAGACTGAAATATTTATCTTTCTTGAAGGAAAAAGTATGATACCAAATGTGTGCATAAATTTTAATGCTGAAATTCAATTCAAAGAGCATTTTATAGAAGTACAATTCCCAAAGAATGTTATGAGCTTATCCTCACAAAGTATTTTTAAATTCTTTTTTTCCAACTGGGACAGTCAATCACCTCCCCTTTGGCTTAGCTTTATTAATTTCTTTTCACAGAGAAAGACAGTTCAGCAGCAGCAACATGAAAAGCACATCACAAAATACAAATGTATGCAGGGACTTGGGAAACAAAAAAGAGATGCTGGAGACAGAGACATGTTAGAACAAAAATAGACTTATATTATCTGAAAAGCAAGAGCATTAGTCATTAGATTGTTTTTGCACCACTGTCACAGTGAATTCTTATGAATTTTTTTGGTGACATGTATTTTTTATGTACCTTTCCAGATACCTCATCTCACCTGAAATTCCTTAAGTGGCCTCAGGATGCATCTCATTGCCACCAAAAAATGAGAAGTTTTGATTTGTTCAGTTCATAACACCTTTTACAAAAGTCCTAAAAACAACCTGTTCCACAGCCTACTTTTCTATTTCTGTGTGGGTAGAAACCTTGAAAAAAATCCCACTTCTCTGAGAACATAGTAAAGAGAAGATTAAACCAGCTCAGATCCTGGAATTACTTTTAATAATTTCTCTTTTTAAGCACAGCATAGGCACAAGCCTTACATCACTGCCTCTTCAGCTCTAATAAAATTATGGCATGGGGGCATTTATGAGATATTTAACAACAAATAATCCCTACCAAGTGCAATATTTTCTTTTCCAGGTCACCACTGGGAGATATCAAATTGCAACCAACGGATCAGGGTAACTTCTTGCTTTCCTGTTTTTCTGTAATTACATTATTAGTAACATCCTGAGTAATGATCACATCCTGCTCAACCTCTTGTCATGCCAAGTATTTCCATCACTCATTCAGTAATAATAATAATACTACTAATAATAAATAAGAAATTTAAACATAATTTAAAATCTATTTGGCCCAAGCATACAGACTAGCATGTAAAATACAGTTAGAAGAAAGGCTGAAGAGTTTCTCCATGCATAGAACTGTTTGACAGTGGAAGATCAGAATGCTTCTGTCAAACTCATGGTCAGCAGTGTCAAGGAGTTTACTGGAATATACCAGTTCTAGTGCTGCAAATAATCCCCTAAATACTTCAAATAGGAACTATGGAAACCCCAGGGCTGTGCCCAGCCTGAGCAGGACGGGTTATACAGAAAATCACTGCTTCTCTCCTCATGGTGTGACACACAGCAAGAATAGGAAAATGTTATTTATTCCTGCAACACCGCAAAGCAATGCAGCCTGATCTAGCCACCATCTGCAAGAGGAACTTTTAATTTGGGTTTTATGGAGAGAAGTAGAATTGGACAGGGAGAAGGCAAATGACTGTGAGCCTTTTTCACCCCACTTTCAAATGGACCAGGACACCAAGGAAAAAGTGGCTGCACAGCAGAATTGTGCTGTCACTGAATTCAATGGGCTCCAAACTTGCCAAAAACTCTCTTTGGAAAATCAGGGACTGGAAAATTGGGCATCTTCATTCCCAATTCAATCTGGAATGAAGTTTGCTAGTGAAGAGAGCAAAACTAGAGTTGCTGTCTGTTCTGGAGTACACAGTAGATTTGGCATTAATACCTTTAAACAACAAAGAAAAGGGAGAAAATATAACTTTTCAAAGTTGTAAATAACTGAATTGTTCAGCATGGAGAAGAGAAGGCTCTAGGGCAACCTGGTCTAGTGGGAGGTGTCCCTGCACATGGCAGAAGTGGAACTGGATGATCTTTAAGGTCCCTTCCCATCAAACCCCACAGTGCCCCTACATCCTTTGTGTAAAACAA